CCCCACCACCCGTTGTGGTATTGTTTTCATATATTTTACTTTTTTACATACTACAAACACATTTATGGCCAGCATCATGGCTCGCTAGGCTAATCCTCCGCCTGCGGCGCCAGCACACTGGGTTCTAGTCCCAGTCGGGGCGCCGGATTCTGTCCCCGTCGCTCCTCTTCCTGTCCAGCTCTCTGCTGTGGCCCAGGAGTGCAGAGGAGGATGGCCCAAGTGCTTGGGCCATTGTGGGGGGGAGGTAAACCAACGGAAAAGGAAGACCTTTCTCTCTGTCTCTCTCACTGTCCACTCTGCCTGTCAAAAAAAAAAAAAACACATTTACATTAATACTGCTTCTACCTTTGAATGTCAGATATCTTTGATGTTTTAAAATTAATTAAAATGATTAAATAAAAGTTAAGTAAAAATATACATAAATTAAGATGACAGTAAGTAAAAGTAAAGCAATTAAAGTTAAGTGAATTAAAGTTTTAAATTGAAAATAAGTAGAAAATATTTTACAGATATTCATTCCATGTCCAATGATTTTTCATTTTTTCTATCCCTGAATTTCCCAGTGATATTTCCTTTTGTCTCAAAAACTTCTGTGAATATCTTTTGTTGATTAGACCTGTTAACAATGCTTTGTCTTGGGTTTATTTGTGTGGAATCCTTTTTGTTTTCGTCAGTTGAAAATGTTTTCTTAGTTTCTCTATGCTAAGATTTGTGGTGTACAGAAGCCACCAACATGGTGAGGAAGCAGGGTAATCTTGACCCCAAAGTGTCTGTGTCCTTGGTGGACGTCCATTTAACCCCACTTCTAATCCCAGGCACTTAGTGTTCCATCCTCTGTCTCAGTGACTCTATCTTTCTGAGATCACTAGAGAGACTCATACGTGATTCAGTCTTGTGTCTGATTTAGTCCACTCAGCATAGTATCTTGAGATTAATACATGTTGGATATCAGTGGCTTGTTCCTTTTACTTGTTGAATAGCCTTCTGTTGTATCAGATGTACCCTAACTTCTTTTTAATCCATGGAAGAGCATTTGCATTATTTAGGAGTTATAAATAGAACTACTACAACTGTCCATGAACTGATTTTTTTTGTACAAACATGGGTTTGTGTTTTTCTAGAACACATGTTCTCAAAGAAAGGGATAATCCCAAGGTGGAAAATTGGTTTTAGGAGGCAAAAAATATCATACTCCTCCTATATATAAAGTGCCTTGTATAGGTACATAAACTGATGCACAGTCCATCTGTAGTATTAAATTTCATGGGGGAATAATCACCAAAGCTCTGTAAAGAGACACATGAATGTTGTTTTTAAAAAATGTTTAGAAACTATCATAGAGTTGGTACCTAGAAGGGGAGCTGTGGGAACAAACTGTGTGTGTTTATCCTTGTAAATACTGTCCAACTCTTTTCAAAGGGCCGGTAACATTTTGCATTCACCTGCTCATCAGCAATGTGTGATACTGGCAGTTGCTCCACATCCTTGTTAGCTCTTGCCATCGCCAGTAATTTTTTTTTCCTAAAGACTTTTTTAAATTTACTATTCAGAGATAATGCTGAATTTATTGTGTATTCTTATAAGTATATTCTTATATAACATTAATATAAATTATAGAGATTTTTAAAAAGATGGGATCACATTATCCTGAGTGTTTCCAGATTCTTCTTTTTCTTATTTCAAGATAGAACAGTAGACATCTTTTTTAAAGACATTTTTATACGTCTATATTGTTTTATTTTGCATTTACCTAATGGCTAATATCAGTGAACATGTTTTGTGTATTTATTTAGCATCTTTATATCATCTTTATTGGAGTGTCTGGTCAAGTCTTTTGTGCACTCTAAAAATATTTTTCAGAGCAAATTTATGTTTACAGAAATATCATACGGAAGGTACAAGGTTCCCATTTACTGCCCTTCCTTCCCTCCAGTTCCCCTGTGATTAACATTTTGCATTTGTGTAGAACGTGTGTTACAACAGTGGGTAGATGTCAACACATTTTTATGACCGAAAGCCCATAGTTTAAATTAGAGTTTTCCCTTTGTATAGTTTTGAGTTATGACAAATACATAACGTATGGTAAGCACTGCTGCTATAGCACACAGCATCTCACTGCCTTAGCCATGCCCTGTGGAGCCCCCTCACCCCACCCTGAAACCATGGGAAAGACTGATCTTTACAATAGCAGTCTTTTCATTAATGGAGCAACAGTAAGGCTAACAGATAATGTCCCAGCATAAATAATGGAAAAGAGGATAATGCAGAATCATCAGTTGAAAGTGTAGAGAGAAAATAAAAACCAGTTAATTTGGAATTCTAGGAGGGTGGAGTAAGGTGGTGGCTGAATAAGATGCTTGAGCAAGAATCTCCTTGCAGAGACAGCAATTTGGACAGCTATTCATGTACCCAGGCCCCTCCAAAGAGCTTGGAAAGCCAGGCCGGTGCCTATGGATGGAGTCTGTTGGCTTGCCCTGATATCAGGTGAAGACCCGTGTTCCAGTGGGATGCAGTCATTTCTGGATTGTCATGGCTCTGGCCATTGTGGTAATTGGGGGGTGAAACAACAGATGGAAGACCTCTCTTTTTCTCTCTTCTCTCTGCCTCTCCTTCTCTCTGTATAACTCTGCCTTTTTGTTGTTGTTGTTGTTGTTGTTGTTTTGGACAAGTAGAGTGGACAGTGAGAGAGAGAGAGAGACACAGAGAAAGGTCTTCCTTTGCCGTTGGCTCACCCTCCAATGGCCGCTGCAGCCGGCGCACCACGCTGATCCGAAGCCAGGAGCCAGTTGCTTCTCCTGGTCTCCCATGAGGATGCAGGGCCCAAAGACTTGGGCCATCCTCGACTGCACTCCTGGGCCACAGCAGAGAGCTGGACTAGAAGAGGGGCAATGCGCCCCGACCAGGACTAGAACCCGGTGTGCCGGCACCGTAGGCAGAGGATTAGCCAAGTGAGCCGTGGCACCGGCCTCCTCCTCTGTGTTAAATAATAGTTCAACCAATAGTATTAAGTAGAAAAAGAAACTAGTAAAAAAAATAATAAACGGTTTCTCAACAGTCAAGACAAGGGCTGTTCAAGTCACTGCTTCTCATAGTGTAAATGTAACTTCTACAGGTTTTCTTTTAGGTGGTCTGTTGTCACAGATCAGGGGGAACATGTGATTTTTGTCCCTTAGGTACTGGCTTATTTCACTAAGTATGATGTTTTCTAGATTCATCCATTTTGTTGCAAATGACTGGATTTTATCTTTTTTTATTGATGTGTAGTATTTCATAGAGTCCATATCCCATGATTTCTTTAACCAGTATTCATTGATGGGCATTTAGGTTGATTCCGTGTCTTAGCTATTGTGAATTGAGCTGCAAAATACATGGAGATGCAGATAGCTCTTTTATTTGCTGATTTCATTTCCCTTGGATCAATTCCAAGGAGTAGCATGGCTGGGTCGTATGGTAGGACTACGTTCAGGGTTCTGAGGTACCTCCAGACTGTCTTCCATAGTGGCTTTATCAGTTTGCATTCCCACCAACAGTGTATTAGGGTACCTTTTTCCCCACATCCTCTCCAGCATTTGTTGTTTGTTGATTTCTGTATGAAAGCCATTTTAACTGGGGTGAGGTGAAACCTCATTGTGGTTTTGATTTGCATTTCCCTGACGGCTAGTGATCCTGAACGTTTTTTCATGTGTCTGTTGGCCATTTGGATATCCTCTTTTGAAAAACATCTGTTTAAGTCCTTGGCCTGTCTCTTTAACTGGGTTGTTTAGTTGTTGTGGAGTTTCTTGATCTCTTTGTAGATTCTGGTTATCAATCCTTTATCAGTTGTATAGTTTGCAAATAATTTTTCCCACTCTGTCAATCGCCTCTTCATTTTCCTGGCTGTTTCTTTTGCCGTACAGAAACTTCTCGATTTGAAGTAATCCCATTTGTTAATTTTGGCTTTGACTGCCTGTACCTCTGGGGTCTTTTCCAAGAACTCTTTGCCTATGCCCATGTTTTGCAGGGTTTCTCCAGTGTTCTCTAATAATTTGATGGTGTCAGGTCATAGATTTAGATCTTTAATCCATGTTGAGTGGATTTTTGTGTAAGGTGTAAGGTAGGGGTTTTGCTTCATACCTCTGCATGTGGAAATCCAGTTTTTTTAAAATATTTTTTTTATTTAATGAATATAAATTTCCAAAGTACGGCTTATGGATTACAATGGCTTCCCCCCCATAACGTCCCTCCCACCCGCAACCCTCCCCTTTCCCATTCCCTCTCCCCTTCCATTCACATGAGGATTCATTTTCAATTCTCTTTATATACAGAAGATTAGTTTAGCATATATTAAGTAAAGATTTCAACAGTTTGCTCCCACACAGAAACATAAAGTGAAAAATAATAGATGATTTTTTAAATGATGATGAAATCAGATCAGACCTATTGTCATGTTTAATCCCAGTGAGAGTCAAGTTGGGAATTTCTAATTTCTTTTTTTTTTTTAACAGAAGATCAGTTTAGTATACATTAAGTAAAGATTTCAACAGTTTGCACCCCCATAGAAACACAGAGTGAAATATACTGTTTGAGTACTCGTTATAGCATTAAGTCTCAATGTACAGCACATTAAGGAAAGAGATCCTACATGAGGAGTAAGTGCACAGTGACTCCTGTTGTTGACTTTACCAATTGACACTCCCGTTTATGGCATCAGTAATCTCCCTATGCACCAGTCATGAGTTTCCAAGGCTATGGAAGCCCCTTGAGTTGGGACGGTTACGGCTCGTGTGAAGCCAGGGCTGCGGCGGCGACTGCTCCTGCTGCCGCTCCCGGCCTGAGCCCGCCGCTGGGCTGGAAGGAGCGGCTGTGGGCTGGGCTGGCGGGGACTGGGGCCTCGCTGTGGTTCGTGGCGGGGTTGGGGCTGCTTTACGCTCTGAGGGTCCCGCTGAGGCTGTGCGAGAACTTGGCAGCGGTGACAGTATTTTTAAATTCATTGACACCCAAATTCTATGTGGCACTTACAGGGACATCTTCTTTGATATCAGGAGTAATATTTATATTTGAGTGGTGGTACTTCCATAAGCATGGCACGTCTTTTATCGAGCAAGTGTCTGTAAGCCATTTGAGACCACTGATGGGAGGAACAGAGAGCAGCATTTCGGAAATCCAGTTTTCCCAGCACCATTTGTTGAAGAGACTGTCCTTGCTCCAGGGATTGATTTAGCTTCTTGATCAAATGTAAGTTGGTTATAGATGTTTGGATTGATTTCTGGTGTTTCTGTTTTGTTCCATTGGTCTGTGTATCTGTCTTTGTACTTTGTATCAGGCTGTTTTGATTATAACTACTCCAGTATGTCTTGAAATCTGGTATTGTGATACCCCAGCTTTATCTATTTGAGGTCTCCTGTGCTGCCATATGAATTTCAGCATCTTTTTTTTATTTGACAGATAGAGTTAGACAGTGAGAGAGAGAGACAGAGAGAAAGGTCTTCCTTCTGTCGGTTCACTCCCCAGATGGTCGCTACAGCCGGAGCTACGCCAATCCGAAGCCAGGAGCCAAGTGCTTCCTCCTGGTCTCCGATATTGGTGCAGGGGGCCAAGCACTTGGGCCATCTTTCACTGCCTTCCTGGGCCACAACAGAGAGCTGGACTGGAAGAGGAGCAACCAGGACTAGAACCCGGCGCCCAAATGGGATGCCGGCGCTGCAGGTGGAGGATTAATCAAGTGAGCCATAGGGCTGGCCCCTCAGCACCATTTTGTCTAGATCTGAGAAGAATATATTTGGTATTTTGATTGGTTTTGCATGGAATCTGTAAATTGTTTTTGGAAGAATGGACATTTTGATGATATTGATTCTGCCAATCCATGAACATGGAAGATTTTTCCCTTTTTTTTTTTTTTGGATCTTCTTCTATTTCTTTCTTTAATGTTTTGTAATTCTCATCATAGAGATCTTTGACATCCTTGGTTAAATTTATTTGAAGATATTTGATTTTTTTTGTAGCTATTATGAATGGGACTGATCCTAGAAGATCTTTCTCAGCTGTGGCATTGTCTCACACACCATTAACACATGGTTATGCAAGGGCAGATTGCATGTTTTAAATTAATTTTCTCTTACAATAACTCAAAAGACTGGAGGGCCCAGTGCTGTGGCATAGTGGGTGAAACTGCCACCTGCAGTGCCGGCATCTCATATATCCTCAGTCGAAGTGAACCCAGGTTAGGCACACACCGCCCAGAAGCATAACACCGCTTCTCGGTTCCTTCTTTTACTTTTGGTTCACCTGACAAATTCACATAAGGGACTGATCATCCCAGAATTCAGAACCAAGTCATCTTTCCTCACTTGAGAGAGGTGACTCTCCAGAGACACCGTGTGGGCATACGGCCTTGACCTAATGAATCAAGGAGGTCCCCCATAAGCAGAGGACATACCAACGATCTGATACACCACTGTCTGTTCGTCTAACGTAGGGAACCCCCTGCATAGTGCCATCAGCATCTGAGGTGCTAGGAATTTGTTTAGTTATGGCAGAAGTGCTGTGAGTGTCTTTCCTTTGGCTAGAATTGGCATGGCACACCAGTCTTAAGTGCTCAAACATGGGAAAGATACCCCCCTCTCAGAAGCCCACACAGATTACCAAACATAATGAATCGGAGACTGATAAGAGCCTGTCACTCCAGGCCTCTGCCTCACAGGCAACAGTTGACTTAGGGAGAGAGAGCCCTGACAGTGAAAATGGCATGACAGCAGACAATGCAGCAATGCCTAGTCAGCCACCCCCCAAATACCTGTGGGATGAACTTAGACGACCTCAAGATGATAACCCACATGAGCTCATCCCATCCGTACCCAGTGAGGATTCCCACGTTTGTGGCAGTCCCCAGGCACCCCAGGCCCTCAGGGCAGCCACTAAACCGCATCCCACCCGCATGTTTGCCGTTAATGTAGGAGCGGGTGCAGAATTCAGGCCCTGGATTCCAGTGCCTGTAGAAAGGCTTCTGCTAACCAAGGGCTGAGGATATGCTTGTGTCTTTCCAGAGAATGCGGGACAGCCCATTTGGGTAGCAGCCAGAAACATCAAGCCTGCAACTGACAGTCAACCAGAACCAGCTGAACAAGACTGAGAATCCGCTTTATTAGTGGACACACCTGTACCAATTGTCAAGCTGCTGCCCTATCATCCTACCCTGAGGGACTGCCCATAGCCACATCCACTACTGCTTTATATCCCACTTAGCTCTGGTCAGTCATTCAAACAGCCAATAGCCTGTGTGCAGTCATGCTATTCCTGATTACCATTGTTCCTTATTCTTACCCCCTTTTGAGCAAGCACTCCTGTGGTCTCCTGTTTTGAGCGCTGGTTAGTCAATGACGGGTAAGATCCCCTGGGGGACAACCTAAGACAGGCACAGCTGCATACGGAGACCACATGGAAACGGGGTCAACAATGGTATGGCCAAGAATCATGCCTCCCATTGCTCAAAAATAAACGAAACGGGGGAAATGTGGTGGAATGAGAAGGCCATGCCAAGATGGCCACTGGCGAGCGAGCATCAGTTACGCAGGAATGGCTTTGAAACCCACCTGGCAAAGGAGCCTGCCTGGCAACAGGCAGTGATTGGTTAGGGCATAAACCACCCCTTGACTGGATTGATTGGCTGCGTTGGCTATATAAGCTGCTGCACCAACTGAAGTAAACGAGTGTGCAAGCTGCTCTCCTCTGGCCTGCTTTCACCCGACTCCCAGGGTCTATGTGGTGACTCCGTGCCTCTTGCCCCCACCACACTTCTCCTCTCAGAATGAATCCACCTCAACATGCATGCACACACCCATGTACACGTCATGTTCCTCCTCTGTGCATCTCTTAAGAAATGGCTCAGCTTGAGCAAAGTTGACAGGAGTGGAAGGTGGAGCTCAGCACCACCAAAGGTAGCAGCCAAGGACAATGCCTCATTTTATAGAGATTCTTTCTGGTGGTTTTTTTTTTTTTTTCCCCTCATGGACCCTTCTGAAAGTCTGGTGAATTTCATGGAGCTCTTCTCACAGTAAATTTTTATTTTTTTTAAAAAAATTTATTTGTTCAAAAACAGAGAACCTATTGTTTCACTGAACAAATATCCACAAAACCAGTGCTGGGCTAGACTGAAGCCAGGAGCTAGGAACCCAACCCAGATCTCCCACATGGGTGTCAGGGACCCAAGTCCTTGAGCTACCACTACTGCCTCCCAGGGTCTGAAATGGCAGGAAGCTGGAATTGCACATGGAGCCAGGAGCCAAACCCGCACACTTCAAGATGGAATGTAGGCATTCCAAGTACCTTCTTAAACAGTGTGCCAAACACCTGCCCCTCACCGTATTTTGTTTTAGATGTCTGAAATGAAATATACAGAACTACAAAAGAAAGCAGTTATACTAAAGAAGTTATCAAAATGTGCCCTACAATGAAAGGTATCCTTGTTATTCTGTGATGTTTGACAAATACATTCAGCCCATCGACTAACACTATAGACAAGATGTAAGAAACGGTTCTATCAATGCAAGAACTTCCCCAGTCTCTTTGTGGTCAATCCTTCCCTCAACTTCCAATCGTGGTGATCATTGGTCTATCTTTTCTCCTATGAATTTTTTTCTGTTCTACAATATCATCTTTTTGGTCAGTTTTCTTCTACTCTGTGTGTTGCACTTAAGGTTCATCCAAGTTGTCTCATATAGCATCAGTAGTTCAATCCTTTTTGTTTCTGTGTGGTATTCCAGTATATCAATGTGCCAGAATCTGCTTGTCCGTTCATTCCCTGAAGGGCAGTTCCGTTACTTCCAGGCTTTTTGGTGATTAAGAATAAAGACCCTATAAGTATTCATATACAGATTTTTGTGTGTGTGAACACGAGTTTTCATTTCTCTTGGGTAAATAAGGATTGCTGCATCTATTTGCTTGAAAACTCCAAGTTTTAGCATATACTTGAAAATGCACAACTATTTCTTTTAAATTCATAACAAAGGCCATATTCAAAGGTGAAAGTACTTTCTTCCCAGGAGATTTTTCCATGTGTTTCGATCAGTGAGAGGAATGGTTTGTTCACTAGCAAAGTCACTGTTCATAATAATTTCGTTAGCACTTTAAAAAGTGTCTTGGCTGTCAATGTAGATGACACATATTCTTTTGGCTTACTTGACTCACCTGATGGACATTGTCCTACTACGGGAATGGAGTGACAGTCTTGCTGCAGATGAAGTCTTGGTGTGCTCTTGTTGGTCACTCTGCCAATACCAAGTAGGAGCCTGTGGTCTGATGCAGACGGAGGGGCTGACCACTCTGTCTTACAGGCTTTTCCTTGGAACAGGGGCAAGGGTGGAGGTGGCAGACTCCAGACTTCTTTAGAGAACTTGTGTTAATTCTGCTGTCACCAGTTAACCATATGAGCTATGAGCTGAGCAAGCCTTTTGTCTCTGTGGGCATCCGTTTTAGAGCTCACCCTAAGGCAAGATGAATAAAGTGCTCAAGGTGCAGAAGTACAGAAGGCACTCACCTTGGGGCTGGCCCTGCACCTTCATAATACTGTGAGCACCGGTTCCTTAAGTGCTGCCCCCCAGGGCTTCACTTGCCCAAGTTCAGGTTGTAGTCATCTATATAGTAAGGAGGTAGGTTCCATAATCCTAGCATTAACTTTTTATGACCCAAACTAATGCTTAGGACAACACACAACCAAAATAAGATTTAAATGTATTCAGTTGATTTTGGATAAGAGCCATGCTTGATAATGGAGACCAAAAATACATTTTTCTTTTAACAGAAGGGCATACTTCCTTTTCCCTCCACTTCAGAAAGGCTATATGAATGTTCTCCAGCCACCCTGTAACCTCAGTTCTACCCATGGTCCTCAGCTCACTGGTTACAGTACTTTTCTGTGGTGCATAACCCAGATCATTCCTTCTCTTGCCCTATGATGATAGATTCCCACGTGCAGTCTAAGAATTCTCAAAATGTCTGTATTTGTGGGTTGATGTGGGACAGAGATATTAAGAAGTACACTAGCTACATACACCCTTAGGAGTGATACTTGTTTTATTCTGAATTTGAAATAATGAGGAAAGATGGTATTAAAATATTTGTAAAAAGCTAATTTGTGAGATTATGGTAGATTGCTTTTTTATTTGGCCATTCAATAACAAGATCAAGTCTTTAAGCTATAAAATTGTAATTACTGTAGTGTGTGTACCTTCAGGAGAGAGTTTAGAAGTAGAATTGCTGGGTCCGAGCGTAAATGGGCCTATGTAATTTTCTAGGTATCGCCAAAGTCCCCCTCCAAAGAGAATGAGCCCTTTGCTTTCTGCTGGTGCTGTAGGAGAGTGCCTACACCACACAGATTCGTACCAGGCTATATTGGGCAACTAGGAGGATTTTTTTTTTTTTTTTGCCATTTTGGTGGTTGAAAATAATATCTCATTATAATTTTAATTTACATTTCCCTCACTGTATAAACAAGCTTGAGCATCTTTTCATATGATTACAAGTCATTTTCATTTCTTTTTCTGTGAATTCTGTTTATTTCTTTAGCCTCTGTTTCTGCAAAGTTGATGGCTTTTTTCTTTTCTATATTTGAATCTCTATTTTAAGAAAATTCAGATTTGTTTGCCTTATTAGTATGACTCTTTATTTTCCATATGGAATGTGCCCTTTAACTTACATGTAGTATTTGTTTCTTATCACACATCTTTTAAAAATATAAAAATGTATCTATCTTTATTCCTTATTTGCTGCTTCTGGATTTTGAGTAACATAGTAAGATTTCCCAACTCGCAGATTATGATGGATTTATCCATGTATTCTTCTGGTAGGTGCATGATTTCATTTAAAATTTGAGATACATTTGAAAACCTGATAATTACAAAGAACGATCCAATGTTATCATTCTCCAGCTGGACCAAAGCTGCTAATTTAAATTTTAATCTTTTCTCTGTATTTTGGAAATTATTCCTGTATCATATACTTGATTTCCATGTGCAATTGTTTCTACTTACATATTTCCTATTGTTTCACTGGCCTGCCAGTACCTCACTGTTTTAATCATAGAAGTTTTAGGACACGTTTTACTGTCTGATTAGGCTGGAATTCACTCATTGCTCCTTTTTCCATGTTTATAAATTTGGAGAGAGGGAGAGGGAAAGAGAGAGGAGAAAAAGAGGAAGAAAGAGAGAGAGAGAGAGAGAATCTCCCATTTTGCTGGTTCACTCCTGAAATGTCCCAGATATCAGGAAGTGACCCAGCCAAAGCCAGTAGGCAGGAATTCAGTTCAAGGCTCTCACGTAGGTGGCAGTGAACCAAACTCTTGAGCCGTTACCTGCTGCCTTCCGTGGTGTGCATCAAGAGTGGAGCTGTGACTGCATCACAGACACGCGTATGTGGGATGAGGGCATGCAGTGACTTACCAGCTGGGCCAAATGCCTGTCCCACATGATTCCTTCGGAAGAAGAATAAAATGGGAAGCATCAGTCTGCTTGGTTTTAGAATTTGTTATATAGCCACGGAAATCAAGACAGCATGGAATAGTATTGGCAAAGGGAGGCACACAGATGAAGGGAACAGAGTAGAGATCCAAGAAATAGCTCCTCACAAATACGGCTAACTGATTTTTGACAAAGGAGAAACAATAATTCAGGGCAGAAGGACATCCTTTTAACAAATGGTGCTGGAACAATTGGACAGACATAGGCAAAAAAAAAAAAAAAAAAAAGAAAAAAAAAGAAAAAAATCTTAACCTAAACTCACATCCTATCTACAAATTAAATCAAGTGGATCACAAATTTAAATAGAAAACATAAAAGTCTTCTAAAGGAAAACATAGGAGAAACTCTTCAGGACACATGGCAAGAAAAAAACATCCTATACACCCCAAAAGCATGACTGTAAAGGGAAATGGTGTTAAAATGGGCTTCATTAGAATGAAACATTTGTCTGCAATTGGCCCTGTTAAAAGATTAGAAAGACAGACTACATACTCCGAGAAATAATCTGCAAAGCTGAGATCTCACAAAGGACTCATGCTTAGACTACAGATGCTGTTTGGGTTATGATGTTACCTCTGGATAAACCCATACATCATAAGTTGAAAATACCATGTTGAAAATGCATTTAATCTATTTACCCTACAGAACAGCCTAGCTCATCCTTGCCTGTCTTAAACATGCTCCAAACACCTATGTGAGCTGTCAGTTGAACAAAAACACAAGTCCTGGCCGGCGCCGCGGCTCAATAGGCTAATCCTCCACCTGCGGTGTGGGCACACCGGGTTCTAGTCCTGGTCAGGGTGCTGGATTCTGTCCCAGTTGCCCCTCTTCCAGGCCAGCTCTCTGCTATGGCCCTGGAGTGCAGGGGAGGATGGCCCAGGTCCTTGGGCCCTGCACCTGCATAGGAGACCAGGAAGGCCGCCTGGCTCCTGGCTTCAGGTCAGCGCGATGCGCTGGCTGCATCGCACCGACCGCGGCGGCCATTGGAGGGTGAACCAACGGCAAAGGCGGCCATTGGAGGGTGAACCAACGGCAAAGGGAGGACCTTTCTCTCTGTCTCTCTCACTGTCCACTCTGCCTGTCCAAAAAAAAAAAAAAAAAAAAAAAAAAAAAAAAAAAACACAAGTCCTGTTTTACCATACAGTGTTGAGTATCTCATGTAACAGACACAGATGGACATTTTATAGACATGATGGGATGGGAAAACACAACATGGGGGCGTGATTACTGTGTCTATACTTAGTTTATAAATATGCTCCATTAGTTTTCTATTCCTGCCAAAACAAACTTAAGAAACTCAAATGCCGCAGACTTACTCTCTTGACATCTTAGTATTCATGGGTCCAGAGTGGTCACACAGGCCAACACAGTGAATGGTCACACAGACTACAAGAAATGGCAGTAGGGCTCTTTCTGGAGACTCTAGGTAAGAATTATTTCCTTGACTTTTCCAACAGGAAGTACCTGTCTTCCTTGGATTATGACTCCATTCAGCCATCTTCAATGCCAATAATGTCATCTCTCTCCAACCCGTGTTTTCTCCCT